TGTGTAAAAATAGAATTGTATATATTCCTAGGATTGTGGAAGGATTGATTTAGAAAGTTTTTCTTTCTATTTCTTTCTTTCTATTCTTGTACTTTCTATTTTCTTTTCTTTCTATTTTTCTACTTTCTATTTTCTTTTCTTTCTATTTTTTTTCTTCTTTCTATTTATTGCAACAGCTTACTGTATAAATATGTCGATTGGCAATAGAATGAAATATATCAGTATTCTACCATTTCAAAACATTATCCCTCAGCAAAAAAGGGTCGGGTGCCAAGTACCAACACCTCTTTATCATTTTCCATATTGAACAAAGCAGGAAACAGCTCTTTGAGAGTGCTCTCACCAGTCCAGGGATCTAACCAGAATCCAATCCTTCCACCATCAGACCATCTCCTATTTTATATCTGATACTCCTGAAAAGGGTGGAAGCTCTACAAATTCCTTTCCACAAGCTGCACCCGTAGGTCGAAGGGGTGAGCCACCATTCCACCCTTTGCTGTCTAGCCCATATTTCTCAGCTATTACCTTCCTCCGTAGGTTATTCGGCTCAGTAGCAAACCTCCAAAACCAGCTACCTAATAAGGCTAAGTTAAAGGACTCTAACTTATCCCCAAACCACCTTGTGATTGGGGTTTGCAAATCTAGTCCTAATTCACAAGGTGATGCTTATGAGAGTCTTTCCAACCCTGCCAAAGAAAATCTCTCATTTTCTTTTCTAATTTCTCCACTACCTCTAAGGAAATCGGATCTTTTCTCTCTCAAGTGACTTATGGTTGCCTTCTTTGTAGTTTTCTTTTTTCTTTTAATAAATTTTATTTTATTACAAAAAAAAAACATCAGGGATCAGTTTTATGCATTGATTATAAAAATTAACTGCTAATTATATGGCTTATGAATGGAATTGTAGGTGCTAAGCTGCTAGCTGGTTTGGTTGGTAAGGTCTCTGGCTGGTTGTAGCATAGACTTGGGGTCAAATCCCACCTACACCAGGGTTGAGGGGTTATAGGTTTGGGGAATGGGCTACCCCCATTATGTAGTCCTATGGAACCAGAATAAAAAAAAAAAAAGGAACTTGAACTTGAACTTCCAGGGAAAAAAGTTARAGAATATCAAAGACTATTTCACCCCTTTAAAAAGTACAAATATGACTTACCCCTAGGGATTGAAAACTTCAGTCTGAAGTATTTCCATGATATTTCCACCCCCTTTTGGATAAACTTTGTTTTTGCCCCTTTACATGGAAATCTAGGTATCCTTGTGAAAATCACAAGATGAAATGAACATCCACAAATTCAAAATAGAACATATAACTGAACTCTTTCCTTCTCCTGCAAAAGGATCATTAAACTTTTCACCAGATTATAGTTTCTGAATACAAACTTTTTCTCATTTATTATCTCTTCTGTTTAGTCAATTTGCCTCCAACTCCCTGGGGTGAGACAAGAGAGATGAAGACCAGGAAAGAGTAAAATCCTACAGGAAAGAAAAGAAGGGAACGGAATCTACAAACTTGTAACTCTCTAAATCTTTGATTTGTGAATAATTGGCAACAGTATAGTTCTACATGGTCGAAAGCTTGAAACTAATAAATTAGACTTTTATGACAAGTGAAGCATACATATTATAACATATATTGTTGATTATTAGTCCAGCATTTATACCATAACTACTACTGAAGACATACCTGAATATTGTCACCTCGAGGATGCTTTCGAGCTCCCTTTTCTGGAACATTCACAACCTGGTCCATAATGAGATAGAATTATAGAAAGAAGCAAAGAAAGGAAACCTTTCGCATTAACCTTAAACCAATCTATCACATGCTGATCGTTAAGAGAACTGTGATTGATTTATCCAGAAAGGAGTATGTAAGAGGATGGCTACCATCATCTAATCCCCACATAATAAAATCTTCTACATAAAAGAATCAAATGGAAAGGCTTATTAGGAAATCTATACCTTCGCAGAATTGCACTATGGCTGCAATTCTTTGGAATGTGTGGTGTGAAAGAAATGCCAGAATTTTTGTAAATAGAAAAAAGTGAGTAGCATCATTAACCTTATTTCAATGAGAGTACAAGGACAAATTCAAGTCAGTAATGATGGACTCCATCTTGAGAGGTTGGGATTTAGGCTTTGCACTCAAAAGACAACAGGTTATCCAAGACTGGACAGTACTGGAGTGGAGAAAGTAAAAAATCAACTTCGATGTTTATTGTATAGGTAATCCTAGCTCATCAGATCTTGAGGGAGTCTTTAGGGACCACGCAGTAGTATTATTCTGAACTATTCAGGTAAATATGGTAAAGGTATGCCCTTGAAGAGTTAAGCTTTTAGCTCTCCTTTCAATGTTGAAACTGGCCTATACATTGGGTTACAATTTCATTGTGAAATTCCTCAGTCTGCTAATTCTTGCTAATTCCCCTCTAGCCTGTGAGGGAGTCAGTAGACGGTTGTTCATTTGGGGCGGATATCTATCAGACTGAAGCAAAACTTCTGGTTTGTTTGCTGTCTTGGGGATCTAGTAGGAGCAGTGGGAGATCTTCAGTGAGATAGCTCCCTTTTACTGTGTGAAATTATTATGATCCTAAAGGTCAAATGGCTTGTCTCAATGCGTCCCAACTGTATTAAGGCCTTTGGTGTATAGGTCAAGTATGTAACGGTTGGTATCAGATCTTACCCTACTTAAAAAGTAACTTAGAAGCTAATAAACCATTACTAAATACTAATGTACAAACAGTATTAAAAAGTAAAAAATTAGAAGTTGATAAACCATTACAAAAATGTGAATCAACCAAATAATTACAAAAAAAAAAAAAATTCAAAAAAGTTGCATGCCTGGGATGAGGTAGAAAGCATGCCAGGTGCATGCCTAGGCACACCAGGTGCACACTTTTTCAAAGGGGTCGTGCCTGGTTTGAGGTGTGCCTAAGCACACCTTTTAAATCACTAAGATGGTTACAAGATAGAAGTTAAGGAACATGGTGGCAGAGACATACATTGAGGAAAATCAAGCAATTAATAAGACAAGGGTTGTGCAGTTGTTTGGGTTCACAGGTCAGCCAATTATATGGCTGATACTTGCTAAAGCTAAGCAGGGGACCGGTACGGAACATATGTGCTGGGGGTCGACAAAATGAGATATTGTTGTAATTTTGAAATGGCAAGTACAAGGGGCTAGGTGGTGAAACTACAGTTTAACAAAGCATACATGCAATACTTCATGTTAACTCTATTTCCACAATTTATAAAGAACAATGTTATCTATTAAAAAAATACTACTAATGTGGAGGGATTATGTGTCCAATCTGGTTTGCTCCTTGGATAGGTCATCCTCTCAATTTGCCACATGTTTAATCCTCAACCAACATCAAAACCCTACATCATACCTTGTACTGGAATTCCTCAACTTATGCCATTAATAGTTTACCATAGAAAACTTTCTTGTTCCTTTTGGGGCCCAATCATCTCACCATATATAAGATTCTTGAGTTCTTTACACTTCTATAAAATATTACCAAGGTGATGTCCAATTGAAAACTTTATTTAGATGCCATATGTAATTTCCAAATTCCAACATTCTCACAAATATCTAAATATGCATTTCTTTTCTTTTTTTTTTTGATCAATAACTGGAATTCATTAGATTAAAAGAATTTAGTTATAGCGCTCCAAAGAGAGATAAACAGGCTTAACTCTCTCCAGGAAGATAACAAAAAAGAAAAAGTTACAGAACAGCCGAAAACATTTCATCCCTTCCCACCCCCTGCTTTGCCAAAGCATCAACAAATGCATTTTCTGTTCTCTTGACCCACTGAAACTTGATATCTAATCCTCTAATTAGCCAATTAATCTCCCTCCTCTCATTAGCATATTTCCAAAGTCCACTACCTTCTTGTAACCAACTTAAGATCAGCTTTGAGTCCTCTTCAATGACTAACTTTTGTATATTCAGTTCCTTAGACTTCTTTATATCTTCTAGTATTGCATAGACCTCAGCTTTGAGAGTCTCCAAACCCAATGGGACCTGAATACAAAGCGAGCACTTTCCCATCCTCATCTCTAAAAACCCCTCCTACACCTGATGGACCTGGATTTCCCTCACTACTTCCGTCAAAGTTTAGCTTTATAAGTCCACTTCCTGGTGGTGACCACACAGGACAAACTAAAGAGTGGGCAGGAGCAGAATTTGCCACCTCCAGCCAGCTATTCAGCAACATATCCGTAGAAATATCAACAAACAGGTCCAAGGATTTCAACCAATGTACCACCCTCACTATTACTACTTCAGTAAGGCATTCTTTACTTCTTTCAACTTCAAAGAAAATTCTGGTGTTCTTTTCCTCCCAAAGAGTCCAGTAAACAGCAGCCCTCACACATCTCCACATTATCCTTCCCCTTTTGTTTGGCCAACCAAAGAATGAGGGGCTAAACAAACTTTGAATGTTTGGCAGTGGGGTCCACTTGCAACCAAAAGAGGAAAGAAACCATTCCCAAAGATCAGTAGCAAAGGGGCAAGAAACTAATAAGTGGTAGGAGTTTTCACCATTAGCCTTGCAAAGAATGTGCCAATTCGGAAACAAGCACCAAAAAGGCCTTTTTCTTTGGAGTATGTCACAAGTATTACATCTTCCAAGGAAGGCTTCCCAACAAAAGGCTCCAATCCTTAACTGGAAAGTATTGTGGAAATGAACTGGATGAAGGCAGAGGGAGTTAGGGTCCACAATCTCTTATCCCTTTCAAAGGGATCCAACACCAACGGGTCTAAGATCTGCACCAGACTCGTGACATTTTCAATCTCTACATCCCTTAAGCCTCTTTTAAGCCCTAGATCCCAATCAAACCCAAAATTAGACTGAGAAGGAACTAAAAAACTGGACACAACCTGGCCCTTAAACTGAGAGAGTGAAAACAAGGAAGGGAATTGGTCTTTCAAAGGTATCTCACCCACCCAAATGTGCTCCCAAAACTTTACTTGATTCCTAGAGTAGAGGTCATACCTGATGTGCTACAAAAAGGAAGGAAGAATGACATGTATAGATTTCCAAGGAGAGGCACCAACAGACCTTGCCAAAGTCCTAGTGTCCCAGCCATCATCTGCCTAACCATGATTACTCAAAATTACCCTCGTCCATAGTTTATCCCTCTCACCTCCCAACCTCCACAACCATTTCCCCAACAAGGCTTCATTTTTCCTCCGAATGTTACCTAAACCTAACCCTCTGTCAGCCCTGCTCCTAGAGACTAGTTCCCAATTCACCCTGTGATCCTTCCTCTCCTCCCCTGGTTCCCACAAGAAGTCTCTCATCAACTTCTCCAAACTCCTACTTATCTTCACTGGGATCCTAAAAACTAAGTAATATACAAGCAAACTAGTGTAGACTTAATCAAAGTAATTCTTCCACCCAGAGATAAATAATTCTTCTTCCAAGAGGCCAACTTCTTAGCAAATCTATCAATTACGGGGCTCCAAAATCTCTCTTCCCTTGGGTTATCCCCTAAGGGCATCCCGAAATAGTTCAAAGCCCATTGAGACACTGTACAACCCAAAGCTTCAGCCCTCTCTAATATAACTCTCTTCCATATTGATCCCCACGCCACACAACTCTTATCAAAGTTCACCTTCATATTTGACATTTGTTCAAACACTTGAATCACCAATTTCAAGTTTTCAACCCATCTCACATCCTCCCCCTCACAAAACAGAATTGTATCATCAGCAAACTGTAAGTGGGCGATAGGAATGCTATCTTTTCCAACTCTCCATCCCCTCACAAGACTTCTTGAATCTTCTTTCTCAATTAGCCTCCCCAACACTTCAGCAATCAAGGTAAATGGAGAGAGGGGGTCCCCTTGTCTAAATCCCCTAATAGCAGGGAAGTGATCCACTACCTTTCCATTTACCAAAATGAAGTAATGACAAGTCTCTATACAACCTAGGATCCATTTACACCATTTCTCTCCAAAACCAAAGCAATCCAACACTTGCATAAAAAAAGACCAATCAACCACATCATAAGCTTTCTCAAATCCAACTTGCATACAATCCCTTTCCTCCTTGTTTCCCGCATATCCTCCACACACTCATTGGCAATTAGAATTTGATCCACAATCTACATATTTCAAAAAATGCCCCTTGATTCTGTGAGATTAGCTCCGGAAGCACCTCTTTAATTCTTCTAGACAGAACCTTCGCAATGATTTTATACAAGCTATTAATCAAATTGATGAGTCTAAAGTCTCTTGGATGACTTGCTCCCACTTTCTTTGGGACCAAAGCAATAAGAGTCAAGTTCAGCCCCGAATTTATGGGAAAATTCAAGAAACACTTTAAGGATATCTTGCTTTAATATTTCCCAATAGTCTGGCAAAAAGCCATGGTAAGCCATCTGGTCCTGGTGCTTCAGCTCGATCCATTGAAAAAACTGTTTCCCTTATTTCCTCCAACTCAAAATTTCTTTCAAGCCACATCTTTTTCTCCTCAGACAATTTTGGCCAATCTAACCCTTCTACCCAGATTTTATGATTTAAAGGCCTTCTAAATAAAGACTTAAAATGCTCCACAAAAGCCCTAGAAATCTCATCCTATTGAGATATTGACACCTCATTTATCTCTAATTTAGAAATCAGATTTTTCCTTCTTATACCATTGGCCATTGCATGAAAAAATTTGGTGTTTCTATCACCTTCTTTCACCCACTTATGTCTAGACTTTTGCCTCTAGCTGACTTCCTCTTTGAATGGGATGTCTTCTAGTTGCTTCCTAAGCTTCCATCTTTCTTGTTTGTCTCTCACTTCAAAATTGCCTCTCCTTTCTTTGGCATCCAACTCTTCAATCTGATTGATCACTTCCTGTTCTCTCTCTTCAATCCTTCCAAATTGTAGAATATTCCAATCTTTAATCTTCCTTTTAACTCTTTCAACTTCCAATGAAATTTCATCCCCTCCCAAATAGCACTCGGGTTAGTGTCATTCTACCAACTCAATAAACCCAGGGTGAGACAGCCACATGTTCTCAAATCTGAAAGGAGTGGACCCTCTAGTACCAAGATCCTCTCTCATTAAGGTAATAAGCCAATGATCTAATGTTACCCTAGGCAATGTTTTCTATTTGTGGGACACTGACATTCATGTTTTCTTTTTGTGGGACACTGACATTTCTTCCAACAGCAACTCTTTGAACCTTGCTCACTAAAAGAACAGAAAATGTTCCATAGAACTCACCGTCCCTTCCAACATTTTCAGTAATGCTTGTTGGACGCCCTCTCCTGATACATCTCTACTAAGGTTGAGGCTCTCAGCCTGCAAGCACGTCAAAAAAGACTATATAAGAATAAAAGAATGTAAATAAACTAGCACCAGATTTCTTAATCATTCAAATATGTTACAAAGACCTTTTTGGTAATTTTATCAACTTCATCTATGTAGACAATCCCCTGCTGGGCAGCTGTTACATTAAAGTCAGCAACCTGAGATTAAAAAAGAAAGGCCACAAAATATACCATATTATGAAGAGCCCATATTCAGCATAAGAAAAGATGTTAGCGTGTAATTCATATTGATCCAAGAAAATTAAAACACAGGATAGTAGGAGGTGTAACTCATGATGCATGCTTGAGAGAGCAATGGACGGCCAGACTGGCCAACTGAACTCACTCAAAATGGAGCCAGGCACAATCTAGAGCTTAATATAAATGGAGAAATGCCTTGTGCAATAAGATGAATTAGGGCAACGCTTTGACTGAATTAAAAAGAGGGAAAAGAAAAAGCAAGTATCAATTTGTTAAATAAAGGCCTCAGTTGGATCATTTGTTACATAGATTCCATCATTTAGGGGCTACTACTTAGGCCCTGTTCGCTTTTCAGTAAGTTATTTAACCGGGTAAATGCACTTACCCAGGTAAGTGTTTTCTAGGAAAGAATTACCCAGGTAAGTGCATTTATCCATGTTCTTTTATTTCCCATGTAAATAAGGCAATGACCATTTTAGCCATAAAAATCCATTATTACAAGGGCATTTTTGTCCCATTCAAGTGTTGGCAACTTTCCCCCAAGGTGGGAAAGTTATTTACCCACATAGGAGATGGGTATCACTTAGGTAAGTGATACCCAGGAAAATAAACTTTCCCTGGTCCCCACATAAATCTGAAAAAAGAACATGGGATTCTTGGCCAATGGGAAATAAAATCCCATTGACCAGCTTCCCCCCTCTCAAAATCCAGAAAAAGAACGCCCCCTTAAGTGTAATGGTAAAATCTTGGGCTAGCAAGTGTGAGAATGAGGGTTCAAGTCTGATGGAAGCCACTATGTTCAAAAAAAAATGCTAAAGATTAGGATAGGAATGTACCCAGTCTGTCCCTCCCAAGGCCCCAGATAGATGGGACCAACATTGGGTTATGGCCTTTTTGGGTTCAATTATTTCTCTAACTATACCATGTACTTTCCTCTCTATTTCATTCATTGATCCAACAGTTGAGAAGTGCCTTCAACATGGAAGTGAAAAATAAGCTGGTGCCAAATTTTCATGAAAAAATCAGAGATGTTAAAGGAAAGGACAAGAGGTGGCACCTTATCAGATTGATTTAATTGAATGAACAGGACAAGATCAAAGTTTTAGGAAAAATTGATTGATGAGTCATTTTTATTTCCCCTTTTCAGGGGGTTGGGGGAGGGTGGGTAAGACAATTGACTTAGATAGCATGCCATAGGATACTTATGGACAAAAAATGCAGTAGTTCATACTTTAAGAAGTTTTATTAAGGAATAACTTTAGGATTAGGGAACCAAGTGGAAAATGGAAAGCATGTAAAAATTTAAGTGAGCTGTTTTGTTGCCTTGAAAGCATGTGAAAGTCAAACTCCCCCCTACAAATATGTTTCATAATGCATTTCCTTTACTTTTTTCTTTTTTCTGACTGGTCTACACAATCCCTACCAAACATCAAAGTATAGTGATGTAGAAACCAGAGGCCATGATAGAATGTTTCAGAGTAAAAATAATGGATATAAATAGATAATGAAATAAGCAACACACGTGATGCCAACATTATTAAAACTCCCATCTGGCTGAGGTGAGAAACCAGCCTGATCAGTGATCACCAAGTAACTTAGAGATTAATTTTAACAAACCACTCATCTCAAAAAAAGTCTTATCCAACTTTATAGGGTTGGCTACAGAAATCCCATTTCATCATTCCACTATTTCAAGGATCATATTCATTATTAAATTGTGAACCATTAAATCATTTCTTACCACCTCAATCATGTGCATTTTTTGCATGCCCACATTCTTTTAGAGCCTTTTAACTTGCATTGGATCATTTCTTCTTACTGATGAACTTGATAGTCTTATGTAAGGATCCACAAGCCATCTAAAGTCTACAATGCATTCCCTCATTTCAATACCTATGAAATATGAAGGTTAATAATGGATACTCTCATTTTTAACCCTATCATTTCTAGTTTTTCCACTCATCCCTCTCAACATACTTACATTTGCTACAATCATTTTTTTGGACAAATTACTTCTTAATTGGCTGGAACTCTGTTCCACGAAACTTGTCGGACTTATAGCTGTCTTAATAAAAAATTTTGTACCGCACGCACACACACACATTTATATTCTTTTAATCAGTATATGTATACATATATTTGTGTATAATAAGAAAGTTACATGAATTGTTATATAGGTTTGTTAGATAGTTATGTAATTAATATTACATGCAAAATCACCTAGCAATCAATCTCCAAGCCCTCATGGAATGCTTGGGCACATATGACAACACTGCAAGATGAGGATAGCAAAGAGCAGAAGTTCCTTTGACAATAATCAATAATACTTTGATAGGATATGTGAGAGTTACCGCAAGAAGCTTGTACAATATAGATTCCACATCTTCCCCTACATATCCTGCCTGCAAATAAAATTGTTCTGTCAAAGCTCAAGTCAAATTACTTACTTTTTCATTGAGCATTTCAAAATTTGCCCAACTTGAATGAACATTATGCTGAATTTGATAAACGTGAAAATGCAGAACCAAGGCAAATTTGTAATCCAGTTCAGTTTTGCAGTTCTTTGGTAAAAATGCATCTTTGTACTAAAAATAAAAGTAAAACATGTAGATTCTAATCTTGAAATTCATGTTTATACCCATCACAAACCAAGCACAATACAAAATTTATCAATGCAAAACCAAAGCAAGTTTGCATTCTCACTTTTTCACCAAATTTGCTTTTACATCAATATATATGCCTTTTGCACTCTTACCAGATGCAGCCTTAAGATCCAAAATTGAAAATGATAAAACAGAAGAGCACAAAATTTATTTCAGCATTATGAGAAAGGAGGAAATAATTTGACATATGAAAAGGAATTGTTAAGTAGGGTGTCAATGGGGTGGGCCTGGCTAGGTCCTTGCATCCCCAGACATAGATACTATCAAATGGACTGGTTCTGGGTTTATCAAGTCCAGGTACAATATAGGGGTTCCAGACCCACCAAATAATTGGTACTAATCAGGTACAAGAAAACCATCAATTCTTCAAAGAATAAAAAAAAAAAAAACTAAAATCTCAACTAGATTAAACACATAAAGTTAAAACTTATGGAAAGAGGTTGATCTACTTCCCTTCTACAAAAGTACAAATTACAAAATTTGCAAGTTCATACATTTATTAGGCACCCATCATCTCAGTCCACAGTTGGACCTAATTCCTAATTAATTTTAAATTTATGGACCCAAAATTTTCCTGGTGATCATATCCTATGTTTGTGGACCCAAGCGCTACTAATTGGGCTAGATATGGGAATGCCATTGTCTCTTATCTACAAAAGTATCCCTGTTCAGAGTGGTCCTCTCAAGCCCCAAAAAAGATAATCTTATCATCAGAATCGACTTTATATTCCCAAGCAGGGAAATTAGCAGCCATCCATTCCCTTCAATAACTGAAAATGGACATAAAGGTAGGGGGAAGAACTCTCAAATTACAATTATTTTGAGAGTTATTTGTACGAGGAGCATTGGTATCTCTGGATATCAGGTCTCAATTTCAACTTTACCACAATATTGAACATGAATCAACTTCGCTGTGACAATGTATGTTCTTGCATTTTTTTTATCTTGTTATTTATCCAAAAAAAATATATAGCATAGGTATTGACACTTTATTTGAAGTGACTTTTCTCATGGCATACTGTCTAAAGAGTGTAACATACTACCATTTTCTGTTGACTTCAATTTGGAGCTTGAACAACCCATTATAATAAGTGTTATCACAAGTGCCAGCACAGGTAGACTATTTTAGGTGTCTCCGTAACAATGCCTAGTTATATTTTCTTTTGATAATTTAAAAGAAATTTTATTCAAAGGAGAAATGAAGGGCCCAGACCCTATTACAATGAAGGGAGAGGACACAACCTAAACAATGTCTTAGTAATATAAACATCAATTATTAAAAAGAACAAAATAGCTCAACTTACCTGAGTTAATGTTGTTGCATCAGCAATAACAAAAGGAACATTCACCAACCGTGCCAAGGTTTTTGCAAGTAAAGTCTTCCCTGTCCTTAAAACAATGTTAGAAGTGCATAATCAGACCAGTAACCCAAGAGACAAAAGCATATTCATTGTAGAATTCACTTTTTCTCCTATAACCATAAGAGTGTAGGACCATCATTCGGTGTAAAACATGGGCACATCATCCATGCATCATGCAAAGTTTAAAATTGTCTCAGACATGGACCATGTAGTCTTGTTATTCACTGCCTACAGAAGCCATAAACTCCTATAACACAGGAGCAATTTTTTTTCTGCATTATAAGACAATTTCTACTAATTGATAGTTCACTTTAGCTTTATCTATTTTATTTTCTAGATGCAAACATGCTCCAAACATCATTAAAAAATTAGAATAGAAAAAACAGGGAAAAGTAAAAAACAGAAGAAAGGAAATGATAGATTAGAAAGTCATAATTTATGGAATAGCTTGTTTATGTTTCTTCGTTGTTTTTAAAAATATTTTTTAAAGATTAGAAACTGCTTTGAATATTCCAAAATGTTACAATTTTTTGATGCAAAAATATATATTTCTACTGTCTAATATTTTTAAGCAACCAACATTTTTCACTGAAACCAAATTTTCAAACCTTTTCCAACATTCCAAATTAACGATGGTAGATACCTGAGCCTGTTGGGCCCATTAGAAGAATGTTACTTTTTTCAAGCTCCACTGAATCACTATCCATCTCATCCCTTTCACCATTATCTAGATCTTCTGTGGGCCTAAAAGTCAACATTGATGTAATAAATGTTAGAAGCTGGTATGGTGAAAGAACAACACTAACACTTGATTTTTCAACCAAAAATAGAAGTGAAAAAGAATTTCTAATCCATATGGGAAGCAAGGTATCTGAAAATATAAATTTCAAGTACTTGTTTGTGCACATAAAGACAGGCTATTAAAATTGTAGGCAATAGGTGGTTTGGCTGTTCATATTTGATATTTTCTACCTAGAAAACCTTCTGGGATGAAAAATTTCCAGAAAAAAAAAAATGATCTTAACCATCCTAATCCATTGCATATTATTGGAAAGATAGAAAAGAAATGGAGAAGCCACAGAAGGACAATACAGAATGGTTATGATGATCAGCTGGTTAGATTTTCTTTTTTTTTTTTGATAATTAGCTGGTAGGAATTTTGGAATACAGTGTAGTTCATCTAATAGAGGGTCCACCCACTGGCTAATGTAAACATATTTCATTGGTAAATTATCCTTACAGTCAATTCAAGGATATCTTACTTTTCCTCATATGCAATATACAATGTAAATTGAAATCACTAAACAATAACCAAAAGGAAAGGTTGTAGAACCATGTATGCACTAACCATTTTCGCAAAGACTCGTAATATATCCTTTTGTAATGGTTGTAAACTGCGACAGAAAGCACCTGAATTCAAGAGATAGAGTTAGGAAGAAGATATACAAATAGGCTTTTAAAGCACAGAAATCTGGAAATTAAGAATATCAATTCACGCTTGCACAAAACCAATCTTTCCAGAATAAAGAATAAACTCCTACAGAACTACAGTAAATTTTCCCTTTGAACCCGCTTGTTATGCTCTCTAAGGCTTGAAAAACAGTTGAACCAAAAACTGACGGCCAACAAGGCAATAGAAGCAATCGAAATACCTCACACAGTTTTCAGAACAAATCAATTAAGGGAAAATCCATGATATGGAAAAGATATGGTATGGAAAGAGTTTTGACCAATCAAAACCCACCCATGAATTTTGATAAATCACACCATGTTCCTAACCACGTTTAAGATTCTGTGTTATTGGTCAGTTGTTTTTCAGTTATCATATCTTTTCCATATCATAGTCGAACCCACCAATTAAATATAACGTTACAGCCGAGAATGTAATACAGAAATTTCCTTGTGGAAACGTAACATGATACCCGAGACATTGAACAGGGTAAAGATGACACATTTTTTTCTATATATAAAACCATGTTGAAAGATAAACCAGAACTTCAAGCAAGATCGATGAGAGAGAGAGAGATTACCTTTTTCGCGCGTTCCTGGCCAATTACAAATTTGTCGAGCCGTTTACATATCTCCTTCGGGGTCGGAAAGTGGTCGCCAAAGTTGGCGCCACCCCAACAGCCATCCTCTAAACTCGACCCAAACGCAGCTCCAGAACCAGAACCGGGAGTCACTCCACCACCGCGAACCAGGTTTGTGTTCTGGGGAACCGAGCGAACTGTAAGCCCATCTCCAGAGGGTTGCCAGTACTCAGGAGGTTCCCCATAAGACCTCAAACTATCCGGAAGACTACTAGACTCCTTACATCGCTCCTTACTGAAATCCGATACAATTTGTCGATTATCCGAACGTACAGTGCTCATATTGACAAAATCCCCCTGAATGGAAACCAACTTAAACGAACAAAAACGGTACGGTGTCTTGGTGGGAAAATCGTCCCATTTTCTCCGGTACTTGCAGTGAGTATTGAAAATTCTACCAACATGCATGTGGTTCAAAACCAAGTACCTGGACTGGGAGACTGTTCTGAACACCGCTTCTTTTAAGGATTTCGATCTGAAAGCGGCAGCCATGGCCCTGGTTCCTTTATACTTTTCCCTTCTTTCCCAAAGAAGAAGCAAAAGAAAGCTAATACAACAGGGTTTTGCACTTCATAGGTAGGGTAAAGACGAAAGCGAAAAATAAAATTTGTTATGGTTTCGTTTTGTGATTACAGGTTATCGCACTACCCGATAATCCGAGTTACAAACTGCAGACACGATGAAAATCCACAACATACACAGACGGCAGAGTTCAATTATGGAGCCTGCAATTTATACAGGATTCAGTGTTTTCAGTCTGAGATATTTTCAGACTTCCATTTGACTGAACAACTACAGACGATGATGAGAAGGGTAAGAGGATAACTGTCTAGTGCCTACGGTCATAATTCAGGAATTCGTGGTAAAAATCATGATCATGCGCCTACACGATCAATCTGCTGAGTTTGATCAGTGAACAGGATTACGCGATCTCAAGATTCTCAACCATCGGATTGATTACAATAATGGTTGAGAAAATACAAATCGGGTTCCGCCGAGCCGAGCAAGGGTCCACAAATGATAATTACCCAGTTGGTACGTGATCATTATAGGCTATTTCTATCATAGTCGAACTCCCCATTATGATAAGATATTAAGATATCATACATTTATTTTGCTCATCCTTCGATATACCGGACAAAAGAAGATTGTCCCGTAATACGGTTTCTCGCGTTCTAGAGAAACAGAGATGTGTTTGGCATGGACTTTTGTTAAGAAAAATGATCCGATTAAACGGAAGATGTGAACCAACGGCTCACTTAGAGGAGTAAAGAAAAAAAAAAAAAAACTATTATAAAAGCATTGATTCTTGTTGCTACAATTTGTGAGATCCGACTTTCTATGGCTTTGATTTATCATAAGAGGGGTAAGGTGCCATTTGACTGCTTGGTAAAGATTTTTGGCTGATCATAACGGGAACGTTGAATCAAATCCTTTCTCCACTATGGTTTCGGGTTATTAGGTCTGGGGGATGGATTATTCCGTTTATACCTTGTTCATTGATCGGGTAGCCCGACAGTTGGATTGGTTCGATCCATTTTAAGTCAGGTTTTGACATGAACCAATTAAGTTATCGAGTTAGGCATGTGGGTTTGGGTTCGGACCCATAACATTATGTTCGGGCTTTCTAATAAATGTTCAATTTATGTTCGAGTCCAATTTGATAATTTATTGTATAACAAAAAATATATTTTATATAATAAAATAGTATATATGTTATATAATATATATATTTTTTATGTTCCTCCTCTCTTTTTTCAAATGATAGTGAGATATTTCATTATTTTTGGGTTTTGAGGTCTTTTAATATAAGTAAAATAGTTTTATCGAATAAAAGAAGATAAATCTTTTTCTCAAAATTCTAGTCAGGCTTCAAGCTCAGGCCTCAATGTATTTAATATAGAGACAAAACCCGACTCATCCTGGCCCATGAACAGTCTACCTCCATTGTATAGTCCCATGGAGTCACATAGCAATAAATAAATAGGACATGGAGGTGTTAACTATGTTTGGAGTCCACATTCTCTTTGAAGTTACAACAACCACATCTCACAATGCAATAATCAATTAAAATGACAATCATCAAATAAATGTTTTTCTTGGAAAAGTAGGAATAGGCCCAATGCAGATTTTTAAATTCTACTGTAGATCTATAAACATTCAAAATATCAAATACCCCATTCTATACACGATGCTCTCCCAACTGTACTTTGAGCCTAAAAATTCTAAACCTGGACTGAACCGTCATTCTCCCTTATTTTGGCAATTACGGAAATAATCTTTTGGGTGGATATCATGCTCACCCAGAAAAAGATGCGTGATTACATAGGGAAACAGCCTATAACTTGTCCACTGTCTTTTTCTTTGGAACAAAATATCCATCACCTAGGAGTGTATACTGTACACACAATCTAGCGGTCATTTCCTCAACTCCGTGGATTTCTTGAAAAAACTCCATGTATATAATTGTACCATGATGTGGACAAATCGCTCTTCATCTATTAGTCTCCTCAGCTTATCTGCTTATGCAATTTCAATTTCAGGTGGCGTTTCATGGTAAAACAAAATTTTTAATCAATGACCTGTTGCTCCACCTAATTAACAAGTTATGAATCAAATATTAATTAACTCTTTTTTTCGTGTTTTTTTTTTCTTTTTTGTATTATTATTCAAATACAAATATTTGTCATATACTCTCATACTCATATATTAGTTACATTATTTGAGATGTATAATATTAAGGGAAAATTACAGATTAGTATGGGCTTAGCCTTTTCAAACTTTTAAAATGTACTAATTCAGTATGCAAGAAGATGCATTAGAGATGTAAATTTTGGGTGTCGAGTTTTGACAATGCTTGTATTAAACAAACACCATGCAGGAGTTAAAGGTTTCCAACCCTGACATAAAACAAACTGGTTCAGTTGAACTGGGTTTGGGTTGGAAGATGATAAATCTGAACTTTCAGTTTGGCTGGTCAGATCTTGGTTTGCGAAATTTAGTCCAAATGGACTCATATTTGGATTTGTTGAAGATCCAGACCCATGAAACCAGGAGCAACTAATGTAGCCGTAAGAGCCTGCAATTGCTGACATGTATTCGGATGCACCACCGTCAATCACGAACTTAGCCAAACCAAAATCACCAACATGCATGGGCTTCAAAGCTCGAATTCAGAAGAACGTTGTTAGACTTGACATCTCCATGGACACTATGAGAGGAGAACAGTCATGGTATAGATAGCACGGACCCTTGGCAGCTTCAATGGCTATCTTGAATGATTTGGCCTTGATATATAATTGCTGCGGACCTGTGGTGGCAAACACCAGGGGCAGGGAGTATATCAGAAGAACAAGAGCAAAGATGAATTTGAAATCACTAGGGGCTTTCCCGGGTTTGATCATTATTGTAGTACAAGTGCACGGGTTGTTGAGGAGAGAGACACAGATTCGGGGGATGTACAGACGCTATCCAACTTCCGGTACCTTACCTGATAAATCATCGAAGAGAAATACCGCCGGAAATTTCAGGTGGGATGGAGCCAGAGAGGTTCTTCTGAGCTCTGACTCTTTAGTAGAAAAATCATACAGCCCCCCATGGCC